TTTGATTATTGTTAAAATATTTCAACTCTTTTTTATTATTATTTTTTGACAGGCAGAGTGGACAGTGAGAGAGAGACAGAGGAAAGGTCTTCCTTTGCCGTTGGTTCACCCCCCAATAGAGGTGCGGCTGTGCGCTGCGGCTGGCGCACCACGCTGATCCGAAGCCAGGAGCCAGGTGCTTCTCCCGGTCTCCCGTGCGGGTGCGGGCCCAAGCACTTGGGCCATCCTCCACTGCACTCCCGGGCCACAGCAGAGAGCTGGACAGGAAGAGGAGCAACTGGGACAGATCCGGCATCCAACCGGGACTGGAACCCAGGATGCCGGCGCCACAGGCGGAGGATTAGCCTAGTGAGTCAGCTCTTGAAACTTACTTACGATTTTATTTATGCTTACTGAATAAATTTTTCTTTAATAGGAAACTATGTAAGACTAAGATTTTGAAAAAAAAACATTATTACCCTTATAACTCCATAGAATTTGTACTCCAAATCTTACTTATGGACATAATATCATGTAGCATTTTATAGAGTTTTTATGCCTAGAGCACTACTTTTTCTTGTGGGTAGTAAAATGTGAGTTAAGTATCAGGCAATGTACCTTACATAGTCACTGATCCAAAAGACAACATAATAAAATCTAATCTCATAGGAATAATCTCATTAGAGACATTTTTGTTCCTTTTCCTTAAACAGATCATGTAAGAAGAGGCTGCTTCTTTACATTTAGAGAATGTTGGACAGACCCCATGTAGTTTGTCTGCCCTTCCCTTTCCCATGTAACAGGAACAGTAATGCGAGCAACACTTTCCTTATCCTGGTATCACTTTATAAAGTTTTTAATTACTCACAGTTAATCTTTAACCCCAAAAATTCTAATGATGGTGGGCATGTAGCAGTGGCTAAGGCATCATCTGGGACATTCTCATCTCATATTGGAGTGCCTTGATTTGAGCCCCAGATGTTCATGTGTGCACTGGATGGCAGCAGGCAATGGTCTGAAACATCTGGTTCACTGACACCCATGTGGAGACCCAGATTGAGTCCTGGGCTCTGGCTTCCATCTGGCCAGTTCTGGCTATATTGGGCATTTGGGGATTAAGTCAGTGGGTAGGAAGACATCTCTCTGATTCTTTTTACCTATCTATCTCTCTCTTCCTCTCTTCAAATAAAATGAAAATAAATACAAATTTATAAACAAAGTATTCAACATAATATTACAGCTAGAAATAATCCATACATTTTAAATTCTGTGCTGTCCTGAGTAGCTTGATGAAATCCACACATCCTGCCCAGGATATGACTCATACAGTTATCCAGCATAAGCATGCTGTGTACACCATTCACCTGTTGGTCACTTAACACCTATCCGAGTTATCATATCCATTGCCATGGTATTGCTGTGCATATACTCAAGGAAGCCTATTTACCCAGTAATGTCTTCAAAGTACAAGGTACAAGAGTAGTTGATTTTGGCAATTCAGATATGCCTTTTAAAAAAAAGCTGCAAAATTCTTTTGTTTTGTGAAGAGGTGAAAGTTGACAACTTAATAAGAAACAAAAATTATACTGAAGTCACAGTGACTCTCATTATCCTCATCTCATCTTTTCATTAGGCTTTGGAGCACCTCACATCACCATGAGAACAACAATGAGTATGGTATAAAAGTTATTTTGAGAGAGAGAGAAAGAAAGAGATAGAGACCACATTCACATACTTTTATTATTTATAGTTCTAGAGAAGGGTATGAGTACTAGTGGTTGAACCATTGGTTAGGAAGCCTAGACTCCATATCAAGGTGCATGGGTTTGGGTTCCTGACTCTGCTTCCTGCTAATCTGTGTGCTTGGAGGCAGCCAGTGATGGCTCGAATGGTTGGGACCCTGCCATCTACATGGGAGAATTGGATTGGTTGAGGCGTGTTGCATATATTTGGGGAGTGGACCAGTAAATGACAATTCTTTCTCCTTCCCTCCTCTCTACCTCTCTCTGCCTCTGAAATTAGATAAAAATATTTTTAAAGCAACATTGTTATAATTGTTAGATCCAATTATTAGTTATTGTTAATGCTACTGTACCTAATTTATAACTTAGGCTTTATCTTAAGTATGTATATACAGCAAAGTATAGTCTACAAATTACTATGTACAGTTTCAGGCATCACTGGGGGTTCTGGAATGTGTCCCCCACAGAGGGAAACACTGCTGTATCTGTAATTATTATCTGTTGACAACTGGAAGAATCTTTTCTCCTCTAACTCCTACAAGATGCCCTTCTCATTGGTTCCAAATATTTAGGTTCTACAGCAGCAAAATGTGCAGTTTCCAGAACATGTTATGTCAATGTATTACCTTGTGTCTCTCTACATGTTTCTCTTCCTGAAGAACCTTCCATGCTTCGCTTCCTGCTCAACCACATGCCAAACCCTGCTCAGGTATCCCTGTTACAGAAAGTCTACTTTTGCCTCTCTTTTCCACATACTGTCCTAATGTATACAGGGAACTGTATGTTTGAGTCATCATTCTCTCTTACATTTGCTTAGTGATGTGTGTCTCCTCCATTAGACTATGGACTCTCTAGGGTAGGATTCATGTATGTTCCGTTTGTTTAAATGCATTTCAGCTCTTGTTCCCTCTCGTATGTGAGTACTATGTATCTGTTAGGATGAACTCCTACCCACAGATTTTAGAATTTTATTTTATCAAACCTCAAAGATATTATAAAATATACCTCGAGTGGACATAGAGGTTCACAAAATGTTAAAATGGAAATAGACCTTTGTGATTGGCTGAAATTCTCTCAGTTTAGGGGGAGAGGGGATTAGCTTTTATTGACACCTGTGTTTTCAAGGCTGGGCAAACTCTTTGGAAATGCTGCTTAATCTTCATAGCAACCTGGAAATTAACAAGCATCACTAAATTGTACATGAGAGATCGCTGGACTCAGGGTCAGAAAGTGATTCAGAGCCTAATTTTTTAAACTTATAAAGCTATGTTGTTTGCAACACCTAACAACCAAGGCCCATTATGCTGTTTTTGAAAATTGGCAGAAGCAACCAAAAGGGAGGCATAGTGGAGGGAAAATGCAACAGTGAGAAGTGAACAAAGAAAGGTCATCAGGTAGATCTCAGTTGAGCGAAGTTATGAGACTAGGTTTTGGCCCAAAGATTAACAGAATGCATTGCCAGAGATGTCTAAAACTCCATACACACCTTGCATTTTGATGCAAGACACATGAAATTGAATAATGGTATGACTTGTAGGAGAAAAAAAAATCTCATTTGCTTTCATCTGTCTCACAGCAGGCAGCAATGTGGGGGGAAACATGATGACTAACAGCACATCCCACAGGAGCATGTTGGTTCCATCTGAGGATGAATGCCACATGCACTCTTCATCGGAGAACCTAGACATCACAATTTCTTAAGGAATGTAATTCCACAGAACAGGACCAAACAGTTACATGCCTACTGGGTGCAGATGGAGACCTGCCCTAATAGCAACTGAGGGTCTCTGTTCCCATTTGCCTTCTCCGAACCCTCGTTTCATGAAAGTACCCACCACAAGACCATGCTAGAAACAATGCTTCAAGGTTTGAAATTCAATCAAGGTCATCAAAGCAAGTCACCTAGTTTTTAGGAAAAAATTAACTCAGGGCTATTCTTAACATCCTATGGGATGCTTTTCTGAAATTGATTTAAATTAAAAGGATCCATTTATACACCAAAAGGAGATAACTTAAAAGGTTCAAAATGTTTCTAGGCCTTGTGTCATAGCAATATACAAATTTATAGTCAAACAGCCTGCTATGACAGAATCAAGCACGCTCTGGCAATAGCTGATACAACATCTCTGCCTAGCTCATTTACAACACACTGCATAATAAACAAAAAATCACTGGACATTTGAAAATGTTTTGAATCTTTTGCTTTAATTTTCATAAAGATGATAATATCACCTAACTCTTCAGTTCACTCACTCCGCAAACCCGTTTGCCAAGTTTGGATCTGCATTCTCCATAAGGTATGAACAGAAGAAAAATAAAACATTTTCCTGTCGATTTCAGGGATATTTAATACTCAGAACTGAAGACATGCATACGTGTGCACACAGAATAAAACATAAATAAACAAATTGCAACCTCAGCGTGTCTAAACCCACAGAAAACAAAGATGAATCTGGGTTGCTGGTATATTAGGACAATGCATTACACCTAACATTCAAGAACTCTTTACTGGATTGGTTAAGCAGTACTTTTATACACACACAAACGCACACACACACACATATGTATGTATGTATGTATGTATGTATACTGAAGAGGTCTTCAAACACCTAATGGAAAATGCACATTAGCTTTGAACTCCATTTGTCATTCATGAATGTTTTGTAGTATTCCCTGTATTTCTTTTTGCAGGCATATGCTTTTGAGTTGACTTGTCTACAAGTGAGATTTTTAAGATTAGGAATAGACTGATTTCCACTGTTCTTCAATTTACTTGTAAATACAATTTCCAAGCAGCAGGCAGTCTTCTCCTGAGTCTTTAGGCCTCAGCTTAAAAATCACCCAGACAGGCCTTCCCCAAGCAGGTGATTTCAGAGTGCCTTGCCAGCACATCTCTGTGCTCACTGTTACCCTGCTTCCTGGCGTTCTTCTGAAAGGCTACCTTCCCTCCACTAATCTGTGAGCAGAAAGAAGATTCTATTTGTTTGCCACCAGAAAGCCTGGTTCAGATTCACCGAATATAAAAAAAGCCAACTCAACAAATGATTATATGTGTAAGGAAGTGGAACAGTGAGGACGATACAGTAAAGCTCTGACAGGCTTCAACAATCAAAATCTGAAAAAATGTATTTAGTAGTCTGTGTTTGTCACATTTTTAATTGTGCTTTCTGTTCTCTTTGTCACTTTCTCCTCTATCCTCTATTTTAGGCTCTGTCTTCCCTTGCATCGAAAAGGAAAAAAAAAAAAAAAAAAGAAAGAAAGAAAAGAAACAAAACAAACCTTAATTGTAGTCGTGTGTGCTCCAGGATATTCTTTTTCTTCCAATGTTGACCATCTTTCTATAAATTTAGATACCAAGGAATCATCATAATCCACTATCTGAAATCCAGACACGTTCGCACCTCCGAACTGAATTTTTAATAGATCTCCATCAGTAAAGCCCTAGACATAAAACAAATTATGTCATGCTTCCTATTCAGGAAACTCCTACAACTTAACATTTGCCAACAAACTCTATATATTTTGATTTTACATAATGCAAAGAACACACGACAGATTAAAAGCTTCCAGGAAGTGTTCCTGAAGGAATATCTTCACCAGCTCCTAAGGCTGTGCTGGCAGCATAGCAGGTCCTTAACTGACAGATGTTAACTGACAGAGTCTCAGAAACACTCATGGTTCTACTTAAATGTTTTCCGTTTTCTTAAGAAATTGCCCATGGAAAAGAACTGGATGTATTTATTAAATCCACCACTGCACAGCGCATGGTGGTTATAGGTCTGATATATAAAACTAATTCTCCAGGAGTTACAGCAGAGTAAACCAGTAATTTCAGCTTAAATGCTTCCTCCACTTAGGAAAGTACAGATTACAGTCATATTTCAATTAAATAATTTCACATTAAGCCTGAAACTAATCCTATAGATACATTAAACTGAAAAAAAATGTTTCTCTTGGAGTCACCACTACAACTATCATATGGTATTTCCACTGATTTCAAAATTGGGCTGTCATTAATTTTATCTCAATTTGACAGTATTCTCTTAAAAATAAAATCATAATTTGAACATGTCACATTATAAAGAGCTTTCTGTTATATACTGATTTTTATTATTGTGCATAAGATTTAGAAGTATCCTAAACAAATATGGATCCTCACTCCCGACATACAAAAGCAGCTCTTTTTTGATGCTGATATTAAAAGCACTTTATCACATTACTTATCTGGGGAAGAGTAACCATCAGCTCTTTATTGTTAACTAATAATTCTATTTTTCATTTTAATCAAAATAATGTAAATGGTGCAAAAAGGTACATGTCAAAAATCTAAATTATTTGCACTACTCCACTCACAGTCCACTTAAATTCTTTAAAACATTCAATTTCTATATCCTTTTGTTTTTTTCACTTACTTACCTGTGTATTTCTAATGACACACTTTTATTGCTCTTTCTTAATTTATTTAACTTTAGATATTTTTATTGAACTTTTCTTTATGCCAGATAAGTATGTAACTCACTTCTATAACCAAGCCATTTATCTTCTTCAGTCATTTTCATCAATATTTAGTCTAAATATTTATAACTATCATTCATAGCAATGCCAATGAATGTACTAGGAGTTCATTTTTTCTGGAACAACATTTCATCAGAGCTAATTAATGCCTCATGTCTTTACTGCTATATGCCTGTAGTGCTTTATGCTTGTTTTTTCCAACTGCTCAATATTCCAAGTTACCTATTTCAGTGTCTTTCCTAAATATTTAATTTCTAGGCGCCATCTTTCACAATGCTGAATCAATTCCTCTTTCATTCTGCTCTACAGCGTTCCCTTAACCTGGCCCTTCACCATTTTCTGAATTAAATTCCCTGTTCCCTCGCTCACATTGCTTTCTTGCTTTATTCTCTTCTTCTGTTAGAGTCCCCAGTATTTTCCTGAGACATATTGAAGGAATATTTTGTGAGATACTGCATACCTGAAAAAATTGTGATTTATGTTGAAACTTAATTAGCATTTTACGTGGTATAAAATTTGAATTTGGAATCACATAATTGAAGATATCATCCTCTTTTTTTCCCATTTCAATCTTCTTTCAAAATTTATAACCTCTAATATTTTGGTATCTGACCTATCTCTCACCCCTATCCACTCTCCCAGCAGCTCCAGAAACAAACAAAAAAAACAAACAAACAGAAAAAAAAAACTCTATCTCTCACATTCTCACATTCCGTGAAGATATTTTCACTAAATAACTCCTTTTTTCTTTCATTATTATATATATCCAAGGACCACATTTGTGTCAATCAATTCTGGAAGATTTGCCAAGTGATTCTTTTACATTATTTTTCCTTCTTTTCACACCCTCTTTTTATGGAATGCCTATTCAAAGATAATATAACTTTTAGATTAAATGCCAAAGTATCTTACAAATTTTATTTCTCCCCAATTTATATTGTCATTTTGTCTTATAATTTGGAAGAGTTTCTGAGCCTTATCAGCAAACTTTAATTTTTAGGCAACAGAAGAAGTTAACTTTTTGCTTCCTTCATGACAGAGTTTTCTCAAATGCCCAGATATGGATGCTTGAGTATGAAGAAACAAACATTAAAACATTTTTTTAATTTCTATGTGCATGGACAAGGGCAATTAAAGTATACATTTCACTATATGGTAGGTGGTCAGGTGGAGTGGACAGCAGTACTTTTTTTGTCTGTATCTGAAGTCTTTCTCTGAGCTGTTCAATTTCTTCAGACTCCTCTAATCCCCTACATAAGTATGTGAGAGTGTTCAAAAAGTTAATGGAAATGTACATTGTGAAAAGGTTATGCATGGTTCTAAAATTTTTTGTACCAAAATATACATCTTTTAATTACAGTTTCTACTATCTATATAAAGCATTCTCATATATCCATGGCTAAATTCTAGGGCCAGAATAATAGATGGAGAAAGGCAAGATTCAGATTCCATAGGGAGAATTTCACATAGTCACAGTACTTTGGTCTTTGTGTTTGTTCTCAGCTCTGAGTCTCAAGAATTTTTCTAGTTCATCTTCCCTAAAAAATAATATTATCAAGAGAGGATTTGGGTTTTTAGGTCTTGGGACTTACGGATGCATGATTATTTGGGTTGTGTAGAAAGACTATGTGGGGTGTTCAATCCCTCCCTAGGTCTTTGAATTAAGTAAGAACCTTGTTCCTGCTGCTGCCAATAACCCCCTCAGTATTCCAATGATCTGTTTACACGTGCAATTGTGCCTTCATCTAGGGAGTACCTTGCTTTGGCTAATGGCTCACATCCATAACCCTCCCATTGTTCTTGGACAATGGAAGCCAGTCCCTTATCACTGCGCTCAATGACAAAAACTAACTAGGATGTGTGTACAAAGCCCCTCTGCCCTGCTTCAAGTTGAAAGAGTGAAGTACAATTTATATAACAGTGCACCCAGAATGAGCAGAATGAACTCAAGATCTATGAATCCCATTTCTCCCCGTTCTTGATCTTCTCTCCTGCTTTCCTGGCCCCCTTAGCGACTGAATGCACTTAGTAATGATGAGTGATGAGTGCCCATGTGGGCTCTACTTCTGGAGAAATTAGTTACAGGGCCTGCTTTTAGCTTCACGACCTCAACCTGGCTTCCTGTGGTTCCTGGTTCTCCTATAGGTGGAATCTCCCAGGAGTTGCACACAATGACGAGCTTGTGCCTTCCTCCGTCCCACTGTGCATGTACTTCGAGGCAGAGCATCTTTCTGTGAGCTATGGCAGCGTTCCTTCCGCACTGCTCTGCGTCCTGGGAAGAATTTTCTGATCCTTACACACCTTGATGTGTCCTTTCTTATTTTCCTTTCTTACGGTTCTATACATTATTCTTTTACTATTATTTTACCGTGGTTTTACCTCAAACGACGTTTCCAGTGAAACCTTGAATAAGGTTTTAAGCCGGCTTCACTGAGGATCGCGTTTCTCTAACTTGCCTTTTTTTGTTCTGAAACTGTTCAATTTACAAAAAGCATATGAAGGGAAAGGGGGGAAAATGAGGGACTAAGTTTCAGCAGGAGGCCATGGAATGACAGTACAGATGGCAGCACCTCTAACTTAACAACAAACATGACTACTGGCAGTGGTTTACATGCAAAGATTTAAATGAGAAGTTAAGTTTCCATTAATAACGTATGGAAATCTGAAATTCTGACATGTAGACACATTCTCCTTCACTGTGGAACCACTGTTTTATAAATAATTAAGTGTATGAGATTAGTAGGGTTGGAGACAAGAGCACTGCATCCCTTATGGTGACATCTTCAACATTTTAGGTATGAAATCCTTTCAATGATGTATGGGAAACTAATCACAACCTAATCAAACATTCAGCAATTCCCAAAGATATTCATCAGTAATTTCTGAGGTTTTTTAATCTTTGATAACCTCCTACTCTAACACTCATTAGACAAGAGAAAAAATATATTATCAGTGAGTGTTTAGAAGATGAAGTCTTTCAACTTTGAGTGACATTCTTCAATTTTAATTGTCACTGAATTTCCAAGTGCCTTTTAAATTTCCAAAATTGAAACACTACCCAGACTTTTAACTTATTGACTCGTAGTGGGTCCATATGGTAAGGAAACAAAGTATTCAGAAAAGGGAAACCAGAACTTAGCTCAGAACAAATATAGGTGGGTGTCTCCCTAGAAACATGACAGCAACATCAATTTGTGTTTTTTGTTTGCTTTTGTTTTTCCCTTGGTCAAATACTTCATTCCCTTTCCATTGTGTCAGATATCAATTCTCAAATTGATGAGCCACCTTCTGTCACTATTTCACAATGTCCCAATATAACCTTCTCCATCTGGACATTTTTAAAGATCACAGCTTTCGATGTGGCTGTGTTGTTTATCAAATGGCACAGATCACACAGGGGACTGCCTGTCTGTGCTGTTCCCTGTACCAAATGTGCTTCTGATGAGACAGAATATAGAGCTTCATCTATTTTAACTCTTGTTCTCTCCACTGGGAATCCTTTAAGATGTTCCTCAGACACTCTAAGGAAGTTCCTAGACAAGTTTTATAGTTGTTAAACATTTCATTCTGAAACAGAATTTCATCTTGAACAACCAGCTCCTCCCAGTATCTTGCCTTCCTATGTGACAATCTGATATACAGAAAACATGAAATAAATCTATATCCTTATAGATATGAACATAGAGTCAGTCCTAATTTGTTGTTCAGAATAAGTTCTTAAATTGTGCCTCTCTTCTTCTTTACATTCTTTGCTCCTGGGTTGTGTGCTGGGAGTTGAGGGGGAGTTAATTACATAGGATCACACTTATTTAAAGAATATAAATCTTTGCAAGTATAGGGGCGTAAATCTATCTTGCTAATCTAAAAACTATTTTGACAAAGAAATACCTACTGATGTTCTAAAATGATCCTGATTATACTTGAGAGGGAAATGAAATGACCACTGTGTTGTTTCAGCGTAATTTTAGGTTGACAGGGCAATGCAATGAAAAGTGGTCAGCTACGAGAATTCAGTTTTCATTGTGTGCTTACGTGTAAGTAGGAAATCAGAAATAAATAATATCATTCAATATTCTTGATAGTCCCAGGTTCAATTTTGCACTAAAATATAGTCTGACATGTGCATTTATTTTAGATATTGTATAAATCAAGCACTGTAAAGCAATGTGCACAGGGTAAACTTTATAAAACACAGTAACAGAATTAAGGGAATTTTGGACAAGTAAATTTATATATTTTTAAAGATTTCCCTTCTGTTAAAATACACTTTCTAAGGCTTTTATAAAGCTTTATAAGTATTACTTAATAATGCTTATACTATTCTAAACAGGAATCTGATTGACAAGTTAAGAAAAAATATTGCCACTTCTAATCTATCAAATACAAACAAATGAACTACAAAAGTAATCCTGATAAACCAACCATTGAAAATTATTTTCTTAATAAAAATATATCTAGTAAAAGAATAATACCAATAGTTCACTACCAGATTTGCAATGATGTAGTGGTACCCTTAACATGTTTTCCATGGTAATAACTAAAAAAGGAAGAAAAAAACAAATATTTAATAAATGTAAACAGCATAAATTTAAATTTATTGGTATTATAGTCTGATTCAGAAAAAATGAATTTTATCTACAATCTTTGGACTTTCCACAATAAGTCATTTTTAATAAAAATAGTATTGTAAAATCTAGGAGAACAACTAAGTTGAAATAATTGCTTCATTTTGTTAGTAGTGAAATGTTAAGAAACATAAAACCAAATATGGTTAATCCATAATAAGCCAAATTTTATCCCCACAAAAACTGTGTCTTCTTAAAACACATTTAAATAGCTGAAACAAACATCTGAGATTTTATGCTCTAATCTGTTTTCAAGATACAACACATAGATTTTAGTACTACATAAATTCAAGAAGGTAATAAGTAATAAAATAATTTTACTTCAATTGTAAAATAGCATTCCTATCATGGAGATCTAAAAGTGCTTATAGTTTAGTTTAAGATGACATTATTTTTTGCACTTACAGCAAACTGTCAGAGAAACTAATTTTTCTCCATAAATCTGTCAGAAATGAATGATGAGATAAGCATATTGGAAGAAGTGGACATCTTGCTAAAGCACAAACAGTGTTGGACATTATTGAATCTATTTTACTTTTCAGTGAACTGTATCAGTTATGAAAAGCGTAGAAATAGGTGAAATGACATGCTGCAGACCTGGTACATAGATATCAAATGTAATTTTTATTTATGAAAATATTCACACAGCAAAGAGCATGAAATGCCCAGATATAGACAAAAATTCAAACCATCAGCTCACTTCCCTAATTGAACAGTTTTTGGCTTCCCACTGCTTTCAGCAAATAGGGAAAGTCTAATATGGCTCAAGTCCAAGGCCTCTGCCAGGTTCTGCTGGCCCAGCTTTGCCTTCCTCATGGTCATGTCACATTGGCCCTCCTACAGGTGCTGGACATAAAAAGGTTTCTTGCCATCACCTCAGGACTGCATATTCTGGTTCCTTTGCATGGAAGGTTCTTTCCACCATCCATGTTCTTTGTTATATTAACTCTTTAAGCACGTTGATTCTCAGCCTAATGGCTACCTCCTGACTTTCCCTCATCACTGGCAGGCCACAGTGTATACAATCAAGGAAAGGACAACATCCTAGGAAGGATTCTATCATGTGCCGCTTTCACATTAAGTGGTGGCTGTTTTAAAGAAGTTACAGATTACAGTGTTTTCTAACATATTTTTACATAACACAGCTCAATTGCCTTTTCAAAGAAACAACCTCCAGTGTTGATGTGAGAATTCTGAAGAAAAGATGTCCTTCTGAAAGAAAAATATATAAATTATCCTCAGCTGAATTGAGATGATTATGTTCCTCGTATTTCCCACTGACATCTGCTATGCTCTACTTAGTGTAGAGTCTACTTTGTAAATCACTCATATATTTTTTCTGGGAATTAAAAAAAAAATAAGTGGCGATATCAATATTCACCCCTTGAGCTTAGTGTTCACTGAGAGAAAACAGGACATGAAAATTCACTAGCGCTGGCGCTGCGGCTCACTAGGCTAATCCTCCGCCTGGCGGCGCCGGCACACCGGGTTCTAGTCCCGGTCGGGGCGCCGGATTCTGTCCCGGTTGCCCCTCTTCCAGGCCAGCTCTCTGCTGTGGCCAGGGAGTGCAGTGGAGGATGGCCCAAGTCCTTAGGCCCTGCACCCTATGGGAGACCAGGAGAAGCACCTGGCTCCTGCCATCGGATCAGCGCGGTGCGCTGGCCGCGGTGGCCATTGGAGGGTGAACCAACGGCAAAGGAAGACCTTTCTCTCTGTCTCTCTCACGGTCCACTCTGCCTGTCAAAAAAAAAAAAAAATTCACTAGCCCTCCATCAACACTAAGTGAGCATCAACCATACCAACCACCTTATTTTTGCCTTATAATAAGAATTAATAATGTACTAATAATGGAAAAGTCTATATTAATTTATAAATGTTTCTGACAGCTAAATCCTTTTCCAATCTAACTGAAGCTAGAAATAAGGTCTCCAAACTTTATCAGATAATAAATATAAATGCCTCTAGTCTATATTTTAATACTATGCTAACTTCAGACCCTGTGAAAATAAAAATTTTTTCACAGTGCCATTCTCTTGTAAATATTAGTTGAATGAATAACTGAATACAATGTGTTTTCCTGGAATGTACTTTATCCCCACTTTTTGCTTAATAAATTCTATTTCATGAAAACATCTCAAGCTAAATTATTTCTTTCTATAATCTCTCCATAATAAACTGTCTTTTCATTCATAGTATATCCTAATATTATAATTATGTACTAATTTCTGTGAACACATAATTATTGTCATCTTAATGGGGTCTTGCTGTTGGGTTTAATTTCATTTTCTTAGATGTACTTCAGTCACTGTCTCACAAACATTACACACTTGGGGAATGTTTATTAAGAAACAAATGGATGATTCCATTTTTTGTGAATCTTTTGCAGATAATCCCCTTCCCTTTACAAAACTGCTTTTCCTTGCTAGACCACTCTGTATTATAACTTATAATATTATGAAATCAAGTGAACACAATTTTTTCCCTATTAATCAATGAGTTCCTGTGTTCAGACAACCCTCTTAGTTGTTTGCATCCCACATTTCAGTTACATAACATGTCCTCAGTGAATATTTGCTTTGTTAACATTACCCATTGCATGTGCTCATTAATATACTTAAGAATGTCTCCCATGTATAAATACAAAATACTTTGCATTTTTAATGTATGTTCATACGGACATTTATGTAACCATGATTATAGATTTGTTTGAAACAGTATTTTCCATATGTTCCTAGTTTCTTTTGTAATTTTCTATTTTTAGAAATAGTTGTAGGTGTGCATGTGTTTTGATATGTTTTCAGCAAGATTTATTAGGATGACTCAGGAGTACTTAAATTTTTAAACCAAAGACGAATGATTATTAAAATTCAGCTTTAATTGGGACTCAAATCAATTTTTTGAGGCTAACATTAGAACAAGAGGCCTGCAGGTTAAAAACAATCCTAAATCCTTCTCCTGAGACTGGAATCAAGATTTTTCATTGATTGTTCACTTCTCTGGCAATTTAGTTCTTCCTCATAACAAGTTTCCTTTATTCAGTTATTTGATGTTCATGAGAGATCCATTTTCATGTTTTAGGGCACTACTATATAGGACTTCATAAGCATTTATGCTAGCAGAATATTTTATATTACAAATTAATGAATCCACTTCTTCAGTTAAAGTCTAGTAAGACCAAGAAATCATTCACTACTGTGTACTTACTTTTCTTCTGACTATGATATTACAAAGAACTAGCACCATCATTGAATAACACGAATCTGCAGAGATGTGTATCTCTCAGCTAGGAAAAGATGTGGACGTCAGTGAAGGAGATCTCACTCAGCAAATCATGATGCTGTTTTACCATCCCTGGTCACTTAAATGCTGCCTGTTACATATTATGGATTTTATTTTTATCCTTTGGGTATAACTGCCCACTTGTTCTTTCCAGAAAGATCTTACCCTAAAGTGATGTAGTGTGTGAAGCATGGTTAAAAAAAAAAATCCTTGTTTCTGTTACTGTATTGTCACTGATAGTCCAAATACACACATCTAGTTAATTTTCAAATTGTGAAAATAGTCTGAAAATGTCTTTCCCACATGTTTTAATTTCAGAGATTAATGTGTTTTCATAGTAACAAAAAAAGCCCCTAATAGAAAAAAATCTACTTGCAAAAGTAAATACATCTTTCTGAAGACACAGATCCATTTAGACAATAATTTGGCTCACTGCATGATACTGAACTCTAATGCTTGAAAAAAATCCGTGTATCTCAAAAAGTCTATGAATTATTCACTTTGAGAACCCACACTTTATTTTGACTTAATGCATGTCTATTTCTGTATCTTTATAAAGTTCAACAGAATTCAATTTAAAATTTCTAATTCAAAATACCAAAGGTGATATTTGTCATATAAAAATATTCAATATACATGCAAAGAATTATACATTGAATGTATTGATTGATCAAGATGATGTGTCAGCATTATTGACAACATCTGCTATGGCTAACTGAAGCCAGAAATGATTTAATTGATGATCTTTGCTGCATCCTACACAAATCATAAAATAAAAACTGCTGCTCAAGCACCTTGCACAAACACTCATGGCAAACGCTGACAGTGCATGCATAGTCTATATTTGGTGCCATTAGGAAACAGAGACTAGCAAACCTGGTCCACAATGTCGTTTACTTTATCCCGTTCACAGTCCAGGATTACACGCCGTTCTTTTTTTAACTCTAGATCTTGAAAAAGCGATCGGTAGGTCTCATCTTTCTTGTCATTGTTAATGTTTCCCACATTGATGGCAGTCACTTGCCATTTCTTTTCAGCAGCGGAATCCAGCACAGCTTGCAGAGTGGATAACCCTAGAAGGCAAGTGCAGCGGTGACTGATAAAGGTGCTCGTGACTCAGACTGTGCTGTGAGAATTGCAGGTTCACATACTTTTAAGACTGATCTGTGCATCAGGGTTGTGTGAAATGACACAGCATCTAGTTTGAAGAGGATCTCTTTTAAAGTAAGATAGAACCATTGAAATATTAATTAGAATAATAACTACAAAAAGCTTAAATGCCTAAAATATTTAAAGAAATGTTGATGAATCCAAGGAAGTTACAGCTATAATCTTCATCAACATCTACTTACGTGCATTTCATTTCAAAAAGTCTTTAATGCTGTTGTTCTGAGCAAAGGAATCATTGTTTCAGGGAAAAACTATATCCCTTTCTTTCAACTCTCTCAGTTACCTTGTTTGGATATTACTAAGATGTAGTATCTGTAATACCTGTGATTTAAGTGAAACCACATATCTTCCTTTCTCCTATAGAAGGGAAACAATTGTTTAGACGACTGTGGTGACCTGTCATCTGACAGCACTACTCTGAAGAACTCATTTTTCATGAAAGTTATCAATGTGAGTCTGTGAGTCTAAGATCAATAATCTCTATGAGGCAGGGTATTTCCTCCTTTTGTTTTCTAGTCACTAGTGTTGCTTGTTTCTCTTATTTTACTTTTTAAAGAATTATTTATTTATTGAAAAGGTAGAGTTACAGTGAGAGGGAAAGACAGAGATAGAGATAAAGATGGAGAGGGAGAGGGAGAGGGAAAGAGAGAAACTCTTCCATTTATATGGCTGCAATGGCCAGGGCTGGGCCAAACCAAAATCTGTAGCCAGACACTTTTTCCAGGTCCTCCACATGGGTGGCAGGGACCCATGTACTTGAACCATCTTTTGCTGCTTTTCCCAAGCCATAGGCAAGGAGCTGGATCAGAAGTGGAGCAGCTGGCACACAACCATATGGGATGCTAGCATTGCAGGAAGCAGTTAACACACTATGCCACAGTGCTGGCCCCTCTTTTTCTCATTTGCAGTCCTTTTTGTTATTGTTACTGACCTCATAGAGAATAATGTGCTCTGCTATTAACTGTATTTCATTAGCACTCTACCACAAATTTATTTCACTTTTTAGCATAATACTATTTACTTTTTAAGTAACTTTGCGTATAGTACCATATGAATAGAATATTATTATTATTATTGATTATCTATATATTACCTCACGTTAAGAACTGAGCATGCCAATAGCCAGGAGTTTTATTTACTGAAAAGTCGTATCTGCAGTTTAGCACTTGGCAAAACAATACTTTAACTTGGGTTTCACATAATTTCTCACAGTCAAAGCAAATTCACTCTTAATAAGATAATGGGCAGTAAGAAATCAAGGCTTTAGAAAGATTTCAGAACTCAATTATATCTTCCTGACTCCAAGAAAGCTTATTATATTTCTATCAAAAGAATATTGTTAGGGCTGGCACTGCCACAGTGCCAGCATCCCATATGGGCGCCAATTTGAGTCCTGGTTACTTCACTTCTGATCCAGCTCTGTTATGGCCTAAGAAAGCAGTGGAAGATGGTCCAAGTCCTTGGGAGCCTGCCTCACATGGAGATCCGGATCCAGGCTCCTAGCTTTGGATAGGTTCAGCTCCGGCCATTGAGGCCATTTGGGGAGTGACCCAGTGGATGGAAGACCTCTGTTACTCTGCTTCTGCCCTCTGATATTCTGCCTTCCAAGTAAAATAAACATCTTAAAAAAAATATTGCCTTTTATCTAAAATATGTAGGACCCTCCTAATGGAATCACATAACCCTAACTTAAATTCTGATACACAATTTTATTTGAAGTTATTTAACATGACAAGAAATATGTTGCTTTTACATTTTATTAACCACTATTTTGACCTAGGAAACACCACCACTGGATGTAAAACTTTAGAAACCAATATGGGTTCAACATTGACCAAAACGTGTACATGATGAGCTGGGAGACCTCATGACACGGGAAAGCAAAGAAGTTCTCTAAATCCATCAGTGTATCAGAACCAAGCTGCCCATTTGAAGAGAACTCTTTAAATAAAAATGGGATCATAAGTATCAATTAGAATAATAACTGCATGAGATAAATATAAAAACAGTTAAATCTAGGAAATCACCATATTCAGGGATACCCTTCTCATGCAGTGTGCCTGGCTGCAACTCCCAGCTCTGCCTGCAACTCCAGCTTCTTGCTCATGTGCATCCCAGGAGGTTTCAGATAACAGCTTAGGTGTGTTGGGTGTC